CTCTCTGAGCTTCTATCTTCCTCTACAAAAGAGGGTGACGAAGGCTAGAGAGAGAGCTCAGCAGATAGTAAGAGCACTGGACCCAGTTTCATTCCCGACACCCACATTGAATGACTCTCGGCCATCTGTAACTCCACTTCCAGGGGATCCAATGTCTTCTAGGCACAGCGCGCATGTGGTTTACAGGCATACATTCAGGAAAAAAAAAAAAATCAGGAGTCACCAGAGTGCCCTGAGACAGGCAAGGAGGGCCCTTCGGTCACACCCTCACTGCCCCCATCTCCCCTCCCCTAAGTGGCAGGATCTCCCATGCCCATGTCTCCCCAGTGCTTTCTCAACGACCTTCACAGGTGCCCACGTGAGAAGCAGCGAGGTGGTGGTGGCAGTGCAGGCCTTTAATCCCAGCACTTGGGAGGCAGAGGCTGGCAGATCTCTGTGAGTTCGAGGCCAGCCTGGTCTACAGGACAGCAAGGGCTACACAGAGAAACCCTGTCTCAGGAAGAGGGGAAAAGGTGGCTAGCTTTCCAAGGGGCCAATATTTCGTAAGTCTCCCACCCTGTAAAACTTTTATAATTTTTTTTTTTTTTTGAGACAGGATTTCTTTGTGTAGCCTTGGCTGTCCTGACCTCGCTTTGTAGACCAGGCTGGCCTCTCAAACTCAGAGCTACGCCTGCCTCTGCCTCCCCGAGTGCTGGGATTAAAGGCGTGCACCACCACATCCGGCTATGAAAATCTTTTCATCTCCCCACCTTTTAAAGACAGCGTCATTTCCAGAACTTGATGACCTGCAGCTGACCCCATCCCACCTTTCCTTCATTTCCTTTGCACTGATTCTTTTAAAACTACACAACTGTAAAAGGCTGAGAGGTCGGACCCTAGCCTTTGGAGAAAAGACGTAGTCACACCTTGCATTAGATAAACAGTAAGTGGCCTTCCTCCCCTGGTGTGCTTGCTAGCCCGGTCTGGGTCACAGAGCACACTTTTTACACACTTTTTTTGCCTAAGTTACTTTCATGTTTTCGTGTTTCTTTGTAGGAAGTCAAGATTATTCTCTTCCAACAATTTTGTGGTTCATCCCGGATTTCAAATCCATCTGGTAGAGTGTTTGGATCCCTTCCCTTGAGGGAGACATTGCCATGGCCCACGGGGTCTTGGGCAAATGACACTCTTTCAGATCAGGGGCAATCCCAGAATGGAAAGTTTCTCAGTAATTCAGTGAGGGGTCCAGGGGAACATTACAGTGAGCAGACTCTGCATTTAGAGGTGGTACAAGACCCCCACCCACTTAGAGATGGGGGAGGGAGGGAGCTTCCACGATTGGAATGTGAAATAGTCGGGAAAAGAAAAACAGAAAAAGAAAGGAAATCGAGCTCGGACTCACTGCACCCCTCCTTGCCCTGCCAAAGGAGAGACTGAAGAATCTGAGAGACCGCCTCTCTCTGGGTGTGCGAGCCTCCCTCTTTCCCTTCCCAATCAGTTCCCTCAGAGAACCTGGGAGACTTTGGATCAGGTTTGGGGGAAGGGAGGCCTCACAGAGCGTGGTGAGGCCTCACACCAGCTCGGACCACATGGCCCCAAGGCAGCTTTTTTTCTGACTGAGTGAAAGCACCACACGAGGCTACTAACGTTTTCAATCAGGATTAACTATTTTAACAAATTGGTTTCTCCGGGGCTTAAATTCCTGCCAGTGCCGGCTAGAGAGACGGCTCAGTGGTTAAGAGCACTTGTTGCTCTTTCAAAGGACCCGGGTTCCATTCCCAGCACCCACATGATGGCTCACAACCACCTGTAACTCTGGTTCCAGGTGATCTGATGCCCTCTTCTGGTGGCACCAGGCACACACATGGCATACAGACATCCACTCAGGGAAAACACACATACACGTAAAATAAAAACTAAAAAGAAAAAAAAAAATCTTGCCAGTGCGAAGGGGGTCCCAGACAGTCTCAAGCCATGCCATGCTCAGGTGGGACAGAATGACATCAATGTCACTTTTTCCTCCCCAGTTTCTCTATGGACTTCTAGAGAAACAGCTCCTTCTACAGGCACTGGGCGCACCTCCCAGTTCGTTCCACTTCCTGTCCAGCAACAGCCTGTACCTAGGAGCCCAGGGGACTTCAAAACAACATCCCCAAAAATGCCATTGTTTGACTCTCAAATCTGTGGTAACACCAAGGGACTCCCTGCCTTTTGGTTGGGACTACGGAATTCCTTCCTCTGTTTCTTCAGTTTGCTCGTCTAGAGGCCTACACACCTGCCGGGAACAACTTCTGTTCTACCCTAGGATTAATCTGACTCAGACGCTCGTTTAAAAAGGAAAAGGGACGAGAGTACACAATGAGCCTGGCAACGCAGCGCATGGGTCTCAGGAGAACGCGTGTCCTGACGGAGGTGGGCCCATTTCGCCAGAGAACTGAGCTCACAGCAAACAAAACGGAGCCATGAGGCTTGTTGCCATCTTGTCTGGTGACCTCATCAGGATAGAGGCAACAGGGTGACTTGGTTGCCATCTTGACTAGTGACAGGATCAAGATGGTGAGGGCCATGAACCAACCACATGGCACGAACCAAGATGGCAGCACCCCTGAAGCTTCCTGGTACCACTGAGTCCTCCGAACTGCACCCCTAGAACTTCCTACACCACGGGCGTTCAGTCCCCCGTCCCAACCGTTTTCTGGTTTTGGTTCTTCGCCTAATGAGGTCATAGAGGCTCCAGGGGAGATGCCAACACTCCACTGCCAGTGAAAAGGTCAACGCCCTTTTATATTAAAGTAAAGAAATACCAGTCCACCGTGTTGGCTTTTTTTTTTTTTTTTTAATGTTTTTCTGTTTTATGTGATATTTTTCACTGGCTTCTAGAAGGGATTTAAGAGTTTTCCCAGCCATGGGCTTCCAGCATTCGCCAAACATCCTTGGGAAATGATTGAGGTGGCCGGAGCTGGGAGGCTCATGTGCATTTACTGTGGGGTAGGGCTGTGTCTTGAAAGGGTACAGAAGGTTGAAACCAAAAGAGAGATGGTCAGGTCCTAATCAAGCTGTGGCTAGCCTGGCTTGGGTCATGGTGTAGCCTTTTTGGAAAAGAAATGACCTTACTAGGTTTTTTTTCTGCTTTGTCCCCGTGTTTCTTTATGTAACACAAAGATCTTCTTCTCTAACACCCAGAGGTATAAAAGCCAGTTTCATCCCAAGATAAAGAAGCTCTTAAATTCTCAGCCAACAAGAATCCGCCCAAACCACTCTGCTGGGAGCATTCATCCACCCCAGAGACTGCACGTCACCATTGTCATCATCGTCATCGTCATCACTTTAAGGGTTTCGAACTAGGACAGAGGACACAAACTTGCCGCAGAGGCTGGGACCTTCCCTGCTGGGAGCGTGGCCAGAGCCCAGATGTCCTGCCTCCCAGAGTCCATCTGCTTCCTAGCTGTCGCATCTGCCCCAGGACATAGCATAGGCCCCAGAACCCGGCAGGCAAAGCAAAGCACCATATGCGAGACACAGAAGCTGCCGAAGTAGGGCCAGCAAGATGACTCGGTGGGGAAAGGTGCTTGCCACCAAGTCTAATGACCTGAGTTGGAGCCTCAGGATCCAAGTGGTGAGAGAACTGATGCCTGCAAGTTGCCCTCTGATCTCCGCATGTGTGTCGTGGTGCACACACATTGCACACACTAAAATAAATACATGTAATTTGTTTAAAAAGAGAAAGAAAAGAAAAGAAAAAGAAAAAGAGAGCTCTCACAACAATCACCAAAGCCCATGGGCAAAACCATGAACAGAAAGGTTAAAGAAAGCCACAAGTGTCCGCACAGAAGCGCGAACAGATGTCACATTTAACATGTGGAGTGAGAAAGGAATCCCTGGAAGCTGAAAAAGACAGATCTGACGCAGAGAGAGCCCACAGCTAAAGGCACCCAGCTATTCCTTAAAGAATGACTTTTGAATTTTCCTTCCCTCCTTTTGGGGCAGATAAGCAAATACAAGGTTTTAACTTTCACCTGGAAAAGCGCCTGGAATGAGCTGGCTGTCGGAAAACTCAACTCACACATTGTTTAAAAACTATAGTTCTCGGTGTTTCTGGGGTTTTCAGGCGCTCTAACGTAAACACACACCAGAGCCGCCCTGTGTTCCCTGAGCTGGAGTCTGTGTAGGAGAGCAGCTCTTGAAACATCTGGGGATGCGAAGTTGGACCACTCCAGGCCCTGGACGCCAGCTGAGGACACTGGTGGACTTCCAGAGCCTGGAAGTCAGCTATCAGCCACAGACCAGGTCTGGTTTTTAAATGGAACAAACATCCTGCGAGAATCTAGGATGTGAGCGTGTGGAGCAGCAGCAGGAGGGAAGTCTGATAAAGCCGGCCACTTCTCTGTATCTCTCAAACTGAAATAGTGTGTGTATGTGTCTGGGGTGGGGGGAGTCTCTCTCTCTTTCTTTCTTTCTTTCTTTTTTTTTTTTTCTTGTAAATCTGGAAAGTTCCGCCCAAACTGAGCAACAGGAAAGGCCTGGGAGAAGCAGAGTCAGGGCGAGAGAGACTTGCTCTGTTTAAGACCAATGTATTCTGGTTCTGTGCAATTCAAATTCATTTTTAAATACCTTACACAAAGACCTGACAGCTGAACTCCCCGGGATGAAGAAAAGTTTTTAGTTTACCTCCTAAATGGCAGAGTCGACACTTTTTTAAGGGCCAAGGATCTGGTTCGACTCCACCCAGCCTGTGGGACTGGTGGACCTCTGTTTCTCCGCTGGTGGGTATATCTTGAATCCCACGTGGGCCAATCATTCATGAATGGGACTCCCTCAGGATCAGTGGGCCCCTAGCCGGGCCTCGCGTCCAGCCCCCAGCCTCAGCATTCCCACCCGGGATGGAGCCACAGCGAGTCTAGGAGTCTAGGGCGCGAAACACTGTGGAGGCTGCAGTGTGGGCAATACGGACTCTGTCCCCGACCCAAACCTCAGACCCTCAGCTTCACCTGGCTTCCCTCTCGGGCCCCGGGGACACTCACCGCGAGCGCCGGCGGCTCAGCAGCAGCAGCAGCACCAATAGCACGGCTAGGAGGCCGAGCAGAGCGGCCCAGGACATGGCTCGAGGGTGTGCGGCTGCGGGGTGGCAGCGGGTCACCGCCACCAACACCGCAAGATCCGCAGCCTAGCCAGCCCCGAAGGCTCCCGCTCCAGGAGTCTGGCTGGAAAACCTGGGATGGAGAGGGAGGAGCGGGAAAGGGGGCCTGGCCGGGTGGTTGCACAGGGGAGGAGAGGGGTTTGGGGAGGCGGGCCCCTGGTGGTGATGGGAGGGGGCAGAGAGGAGGAGACTGAACCCGAGCGGACCAGGGGGCGCCTTCCCGCCACATTCCTGCAAACCACGGGTCCCAGCCCAGCCCCCGCCCGCCCAGATCTGCGTTTCCGTCCCTGTGGTCTGAGCTGTGGAACTGTTCACGCCAGAAGCTAAGGCCACTCAAAACTGCCCACAGTCCTGACTGTGGTGAGGATTGCAGTGCGCGCGGCCCCAGGATCCTCTCTGTAGTCGCTTTACATTAGGGAGGGTTTGCTCCAGGCTTAGCCCAGGAGGATCAGGAGTTCAAGCGCAACTTTGGCCACATAGTGAGTTGGAAACTAGTCTGAGCTTCATAAAACCCAGTCTTTCTTTCTTTCTTTCTTTCTTTCTTTCTTTCTTTCTTTCTTTCTTTCTTTCTTTCTCTTTCTTTCTTCTTTCTTTCTTTCCTTTCTTTCCTTCCTTCCTTTCTCTCTCTCTCTCTCTTCTCTCTCTCTCTTCTCTCTCTCTCTCTCTCCCTAACAGAACCTTCCCTGTACCTGCCCAGAGCCTACCATGGCTCCCTGCCACTCCAAATGTAACCAAATCCCTACATAGTCCCTACTGAACCCACCCTCATCGCTACACATTGTCCTCGCTCTGGTCACACTGGTATCCTTGTCCCTGCCCCGAAGAGACAAGCTTGTTACCTGACACTCAGTCACAAAGCCTTTGTATTCTTTGGTTTCTTTGTAATCTTCAGTGTGTATAACTTCGGTTTCTCTGTATTCCAGAAGAAATAGGAAAAATGTTGACAAAGGAGAATGAATTTATTCTCTCTCGCCAAGGCTAAGGCAGTCTTAAAACTTTTAGGTACCCATGAGACGGTAAGGAGATGGGTAGATTCAGCGGTGAGAGTTTTATCCGTCCTTCCCTGGAGGTGATTCCGTCATGGGGGCTCTCAGCTCGGGGATCTGTTGTATGGTCACAAGTCAAGCTGACAGACCCCACCAAGACTTTTCTATTCCTCAGTCTTGATGAGTGTGAGATGCCGTACCACCTATTGGACCGATGTGAACATTTCTGAGGTATGCCCCTGTCAGAAAGACCTGCCAAGGGCCGAGTGCTGTGAGGAAGCAGGCAGCCTGGCGAGTGGAAGAGTGTTTGCTTCTGCCAGAGTTCCCAGCTGCAGCTGAGCACAGCCAACCTGCTCTATGCCGATGTCTCTGTGGTCCAGGCTGATTTAGCCTCTCACCCTGTATCATTTTGGTTTTTAGTTTCCTCTCTTTCCTTGGTGCAGTTCCTGAACACATCTCTCCCTAACGGCCCCTCATTGCAGGATGTTTTCGCTGGTCTGATCTGATACTATGGGGAAGAAAGAGTGGCAGGCACGGAATAGTGCCTGAAGTCTACTTTCTTGATCACAATTAAGCATCTGGGCAGTCTAGAAGATCTAGAAGATCTTAAGCCGTTTGCCTGGAATCCACTCTTAATTTTAAAAATATGCAAATATATGTTTCTATGTGTGGGTATGTGCACGAGAGAGCAGTGCCTGTGGAGGCCAAAAGAGGGGCTCAGATTCGTTATCAGGTGGTTGCGAACCGCCTTGCAAGGATGGTGGGACCTGAGCTTGGATCCTCTATAAGACCAGCATGATCCTGACCCTTGGGCCAGCCTAAACCCTTATGTTTTGAAGAACATCAGGTCTCAAGTGAAAGGAATCCCTTTCCGTTTCTGCACTTCCGCACCTGGCCAGCACTCTGTCTCAAGGTCCACTTCAGCCTCTTCTTTGACAATTATCCAGTGGAAGCTCCTGCATAGTTTTCTCCTTGAGGTCACCTTTAAGTCGGGCCTCCAGTGGGAGCAAGTTCACAGCCAACGTACTGGCCTAAGTTTCAGTACAGCCAAGGCTACACACAGAACCTCTGGCTTACATGGTTGCAAGAAACTTCACACACATACTCATATGTAAAGGTCAGAGGACCTTGCGGGGGTTGCTGCTCTCCTTCCGTCATGTACATCTTGCTGACCCATTATCTTCATTTTTCATTTGTTTGTTTGCTTGCTTACTTGCTTGGTTTTTGTTTGTTTGTTTGTTTCATTAAGACAGGGTTTCACTTTGCAGCCTTGGCTGTCTTGGAACTTGCTCTGCAGACCAGGTTGGCTTCCAACTCAGAGAGATCCACTTGTTTCTGCCTCTCTAGTGCTGAGATTAAAGGCACATATCTCCACGCACAGCCATCATCTTCACTGTTGACCACAGATAGGTTTGAAGTTGCCTAAGTACTTACATCCAAAGCACGCTGTTCTAATAGCTTAAAGGAATAGACACTGGTCACCCCAAGGAGTCCTAATGTAGCTCTAACGTCCTCAGCCTTCTTCAGTTGTCTTACAGCCCTTTTGTTAACAATGTGGTTACAATCCTAAAAGTCAAACCTCGGTCTGTTACAGGGTGTGATGGTTACTGTGCCAACCTGACACAACGTGGGAAGAGACTCAGTGAGGGACATTATCTTGGGTTAGCCTGTGGCTGTGTCCATGAGAGATTGCCTTGAGTAATTGATGTGGGAAGATGAAAGCACCATTCCCAAGATGGCCAGAAGAGAGTACTAGATCTCCTGGAGGTGATCTGAGCCACCTGAGGTAGGTCCTGGAACCCAAAACCTCTCTACAAAAGCTGCATACATCCTCAACCACTAAGCCATCTCTCGGCTTGCACACTCACGTAGACATAGGTTATTGTGTAATTCAAATGCTGATTTCTGTATCCCCCATATCTGGTTGCAGCCCTGTTCTGAGAATCTCCTCTCTTAATGTTGTATAAACTCTGCTCCACAGTGGTCCCCTGATATGTCAGTAAAGCAGCTTGTATGTGAGCCAATTGCTGAGCAGGGGAGAGAATAGGGCTAGACTTCCTGCCAGCCAGGGGAGGAGGAGTTAGAAGGCGAAATAGGGAATTCAGCCTTGAGAGAGGTCCAAGAGACGTCAGGAGAGAGTTGCTCTTGCTCAGCAGAAAGCTATAAGGTGTAAGTATCCCGGGAATACAGGCTGGGAGGAAGCCACATTAGCATAGAGCGTTAAGAATAGAGTAATAACTGCTCAGTTCTTGTGGCAGAAAGCTTTATTATTAAACAAATATAGAGTCTCAAGTATTGGTATGATAGCCAGGCTAAGAGAGAAACTGAGAAAGAAACACAGTTTTATAAAAATAACCGTGACACATTTACACACAAGTGCATACACACAAAGATAAAAATATTTTTAAAAAAAGAGTCTTTAACAAACATAGACTGCTATGATCTCTTTTTTTTTTTTCTTAATGCGTGTGTCTTTGCGTATGAGTGCAGCGACCACAGAGACAGAAGAGGGTGCCCAATCCTCTAGAGCTGGAGTTATAGGGAGTTGTGAAGGGTCTCATATGGGTACTAGGAACCCACCTTGGGTCATCTGCAAGAACAACAATCTCTCTCAACATTTTTTTCCCATGAGTAGCAGCCTCCATATATCAAGAAAATGTCACCAGGTAGTTACATTTGGATTCCCGCCCCCCCCCATGGATTTCAAATAGTGCATTTTGATTAGCATAAAATACTTTTATGCCTCTTTGTGTGTGTGTGTGTGTGTGTGTGTGTGTGTGTGTGTGTGTGTCCCTTGGCTACTCAGTAAGAAAACAAATGTAAATTTAATTTCTCATTTAGAATCTAGTTTAGAAAAAAAATTCTTATCAATATCCTCATAGCCAATACAAAAATTTTTAGCTTAAAACTTTTGTCTGTGGTGGCATGGCTCAACTGGTAAAGGCTCTTGCTGCAGAGTCTAAGGTTTGGAGTTCAGTCCTTGGAACCCACATGGTAGAAGCAGAGACCTGCCTCCCCCAGGTGGCCCTCTGACCTCTTCATGTGTTCAGTGGCGTGTGAGTCCCCCAATATAAAATAAATGGTGTTCAAACTTAAGTGCAAATAGAAAGGTTTGCTGGAATTTTTGGCTTTCTGGGTCTCTATCTAACAACAGTGGCACCCCAAAACTAAGCAACATCACCACCCAAACCTCAGACAGCTGATGCGGTGAGGTGTTAAGGGTCCAAACTGTTTTTCCTCATCACATGTGAAAATAAAGATTAGAACAGAATCTAAGCCAGGTGTGGGGGGCGCACACCTTTAATCCCGGCACTCGGAAGGCAGAGGCAGGTGGATCTCTGAGTTTAAGGCCAGCCTGGTCTGCATGAGAGCTCCAGGACAGCCAAGGCTACATAGTGAAACTCTCTCAAAAAAAAAACCTAAATCGAAAACAAAAACAAAAAACAAGCACAGAGAAACTATCTTGAAAAAAGGAAACAAAACAAAAAATTAAAAATTAACTAAATAAATAACTTACAATTTGAATAGATGGAGGCCACGTTGGGCATTGTAGAAGGGCAAACTCCGAGGGACCTAGGGCTCAGCTCAGCAAGGCACAGGTGGCAGGCTGGTGCACTCAGGAGGGCCAGCAGACCAATGGAGACCTCCCGCAAACAGAACCTGAGCCCTCTGATCACACAGCCAAGCAACTCTTCAGCCCAGACCTCAATGGCAAGTGTCTCCAAGGCCCCTGGCTTCTTTCAAGACTTCTTTACAAACCAGAGCCAAAACAAAATAAAACCAGGTCCTGACCCCTGGCCGTGGGGAAACCCTGCTGCTAAGGTCCATGGCTGGAAAGCCCTGAGTTCTGTGCGAAATGGAGGACTCCCCTTGTCAGTGAGGCTTCTTCTCTGCCAGGGCATCCCAGATCTCCAAATCCTCTACCTGAAAAATGCCTTCAGAGAAATTACAGGTCTGACTCCCTGACTCCCTGACTCCCTGACCTGTTCAGCAAGCACCTGGGATTCCTGGAATGTAAAGAGGCATCTCAGTACCTTAGCCT